GGTGGCGCTCCACAAGTCCGAGGCCATGTGTTTTCATGGCCGCGGGAACGCGCCACCTCCGGGTGGGTCCCAAATAACGGCGGGAGGAGTTACCATCGGCGTCGAGACGACGATGAAGTACCTAGGACTCGTCCTCGACAGTCGGTGGAACTTCATTGAACACTTCCGACGTTTGGCTCCAAAGTTGGAGAGGACGGGGGCTGCGTTTAAACGCATCCTCCCCAACCTCGGGGGGCCAAACGCCTCCTGCCGGAGGTTATACGCCGGGGTCGTGCGGTCCATGGCCCTCTACGGCGCCCCTGTTTGGGCGCCTAACCTGTTGCGGCGTCCCGCTCGGACGCTGCTCATGGCACAGAGGGTCATGGCGATCCGAATGATCCGCGGATACCGCACGATCTCTGGGGAGTCGGCGAACCTCCTTGCCGGATTACCGCCGTGGGATCTGGAGGCGAAGGTGCTCGCGCGCGTGCACAGCATGCGCGCGGAGGCACGTCGCCGGGGCGAAACTCCGCTGCCGCGCCAGATAAGTGCGTGGCGGGATGAGCTCCGGCGCGATCTCATGGCGGAATGGCAGCAACGACTGTCGCAACCGAGGGCTGGGCTCGCTGCCATCGCAGCGGTAAGTCCCCTCTTTGAGGAGTGGCTTGAGAGACGCTACGGCGTCCTCACCTACCGCCTGACGCAGGTCCTCACCGGACATGGAAGTTTCGGGAGGTACCTGTGTCTGATGGGGCGGGAGGAAACGCCCGGGTGTCATCACTGCGAGGACCGCCCTGAGGACACGGTGGAACACACGGTGGGAGAATGCCCTTCGTGGGCTGAGCACCGCCGTGTCCTCAGGGAAGTGATCGGCGATGGCGACCTCTCGCGTCCGGGCCTAGTGCAGGCCATGATGCGGAGCGAGGGGGATTGGGATGCCGTCTCCTCCTTTTGCGAAGCAGTCATGCTAGCTAAGGAGGAGGCGGGACGCGTGAGGCAGCGAAGCGCTGCCTCCTCGCAACCCAGCCATCGCGAAGGACACACCGGGCGTCGGGGATCGCGGGACGATCTCCGGCCACCGTAAGCGCGGGCCTGCGGACGGCGAGCATGGGTGGCTCCCCGTCCGACCAGAAACAGACCCGAGCGTACGGCGCGTCGCGTTCCGCGCGCGCCTCAAAGAGCCATCAGACCACCACAGATGGGGCCCAATAGGGCCGATGCCGATTCGGAGTCGCGGAGAACCTAACGGGTAACCGGGGCTCCGGCTCGACGTGCAGGAGAAGGAACGGGGTGGTTTTTAGTCAGTAAGAGTCTGACACTCCCTCCCGCCTCACCCAGGCGGGGGCAGTCATTCGATGATTTTCCCCCCTTAAAAAAAAAAAAAAAAAAAAAAAAAAAAACCTACTATACTCGATTTCACCATTCCTTTCAGAGGCCTTAGTACGAGTTTCTTTTTCGTTTAAAGTAATCGTAAAGAGTACGCATTCTGCATTGTGATTGGCCGGTTCCAATAAACCAACCAATCAGAGCGCCGGATGCCGTTTCGTTTTGATTACTTTGAACAAAAAAGGAATTCGTACTAAGGCCTCAGTTGTTGGTAGTTTCTCGCCAACACATCATCGATATAATGTATTATTATGAACCATATGACGACCACCGACAACCATATGCTGAACATAGACCACCCTAGAGACTTCTAGATCGGCAGGCAACCTGCATTATTTGGCTCCCTGTAGACTTTAACAGATAGTGTTTCCACCTTTTTATTAGCAGACCAATTACTTATTCAAAACCTTCTCAATTCCGCCTACATAAATTCTACATCATCTTTATTCAGTTCATCTGTTGTCATTATAAATTCAAATATATAAAACTACTAAAAGATATTACGTTGAAAACTATACGAAATATATAAAAAATGATATTAAATGTAGCCATTAAAAGGTTCGTGTAAGAGGTCTGAGGTACCTATAAGCTGCTGGTACTAAAAGTTCGTTCACGACATCGTTATTTCGTCCAATTGAGGTAAGAGGCTTTTATGATTTGTTCAGAACTATCGCTTTATTTCTTCCACTGTTTTTTTTTGCCGAGCACTTACGGAAAACTTGTGTTTTGTTTTTATTTCAAGTAGTAAGACCCATTTTGTACATCGTTGGCAATAGGCGTGTCGACAGGGTAAAAAAATCAAAAAAGTAATTAGTCCGTCATTAAGATCGCACAAAAATATCAGACACGTATTTTTTGTTTTATCAAATTAACAGAAGAATACGTAGTTATTCCGCATCAAAGTTAGGGAGTGGGGGGTGTTGACGTCACACTTACGGAGAAATCGTACCTAAGTGTGACGTCACGCGTCATTTTAACTCAAAATATCTACATGTTTTTTTGGATACGAGAAAAAGAAAAAATACGTATCGAAGATTTTTAAAATATCTAAAAGACGGACAAAAAATTAAAAAATAGTCGCCATGCCTATTGTAATAAGACGTGTTTTAGCTGAGGTTTGCCTCTATGATAGCTGTGTATTATTTAAATGAATTTTTGGGTGAAGCGTTTTCTTTGAACTTGATTACCTATTGATATTATGTAGGTTTTTGTTAAACAAGAATTTCTTTAGGCTGGGTTGCACCAACTTACTTTAACAATAATAAACGTCAAAATTTTTGTTAAAGTATCGGAAGTCAAAATATGTTGCACCAATCGACAAATAGTTAAATGACGTCATAACTTTAACTATAACTGTAACAGCTCACTTTTCTATGGTTACTGTTAAAGTTAAGGTTATGGCGTCATTTAACAATTTGTATTTATACGTCATTTAACATTAAACAAAAAATATGCGAATATTCTTGAATGTGAATGCGAATATTCATTATAGTGATATATCATTAACACATACATAATTACAGTACATAATTTATTACTAGCATAGGTCCTAATACCAAGGACATGTTTTTCAATAATCTTTATTCATCAAATCATGATATAACCTCCTTAGGTTTTATTTTTAAGACGTAAGACTGATGGTTCATCAGTTTAATTTTTGGGCAAATAACTGGTCGTTGATGTCGATCAACGACCAGTTATTTGCCCAAAAACTAACAAACTTCGACAAGTTTGTTAGTATTTCGTAAGGGCTTTTTTCAAATAAAAACTTTATTATAATATGCTTAATTTGTTTGTTATAGTTATAATGTCGATTTTATCGCAGTCTTCTAAAATTGATTGATCAATTTAGCTGCCATAACTCTTTCGCCTGTTTTCTAACAAACCTACTTCTAGAAAATTCGATACGCAGATACGGCTTCATAAATAAGAATCTCAATAAACATTGATTTCAATAAACGTTCTTGTAATATTATTATATTCGATACCGCGACCTTGATACATATTTTGTAGAAATTCCCGGAGACCTTAGGATTGTCGTGGAAAAAATATTTTGTTGAAGACTTCGATAATACGATACTATCCATTAGCTGCTTCGGTTTGATGCGAAAAATGGACGGAATTTTGCCCCGAAAATATTTCGCGGTACATGAATTTTCTGGGCTATTGATTTCGTCGGCCGCGTCCTCATGGCCGAGCAAACGGTATGAAATTGATCATTTGCGAACTTTGGAATTTTTTCACAAAGATATATACATTTTTGTTGATTGTCTTCGGTGTGGTTATAAAAAGCATTTACTACTTGCACTATTAATAGGGTAGTAGATAGTGTATACCTCGTGTGTGTGACTGCCTCGTTGGCCGAGTGGTCGCAAGTGCGACTGCTGGGCAAGGGGTCTCGGGTTCGATTCCCGGGTCGGGCAAAGTATTACTGGGTTTTTAAAAACTTTCTCAATAGTAGCACGGAGTCTGGAATTGTGCCCGGTAAATGGCAATAGGCTCACCACTCATAACATATATAGTGAAAAGTGGGTGTTACATTGTACAGTGGTATGTGCACCTCTGCCTACCACTTCGAGGATAAAAGGTGTGTTGTGATGTTCTTGAGAGCGTCTTCAAATTGAGTGTCGTTTGGGTATTTGACTATAAGATACCTATCGTATACCTCTATATAACATAGAATTTTGTTTTCCCGAGTGAAATATAACAACTAACATACGGCTTTAAAATCAAAACAATAATAAACTAAATAAAAGAACTCCTAATAGGATCGTGTACTCTGTACGAGAAACAAGTATCGTTGTTACATTGGCTGGCATTGTTCCATTAATTGTGAAGTATTTTAATTAAAACATGGCTCTCTTTCCGTTCAGAACCAAAGCCTTATAATTGAATTTAGGCAATCAAGTACTTTTGGCAAGAAACTAGTACATATTTTCTATTTTTACAATATTTATGTTAAAAATGTCAGCATATTTCCGACTCATAAGACATCTTAATGCTTGTCTCTTCTGTAACGATCGAATATCGTCAAATGAGATCTCAAGTCTCGGTTGAGGCGGGAGGGACTGGCTTGAAGTCAGTAAGATTCTAACATGACTAATAACTATCCCGGTTTCGAATTACTGTGTTATGGAATGGGCCGCAGCGCGTAGCAAATTTCCAACCTTAGGCTAGTTTTAGCGTCGTGCTGACTACACGCGCAACTTCGGCGCTTATGGGACAAGATATTATGAACTTCTAGGAAACGTTTTTGAATGACGCGTAGCTCATATAACTCGACCACCAAGTTCATATAACGCGGCCATTAGCGTTGAAAGTGCGAGTGCCGTCAGCGTGAGACTAAAATCAGCCTTACCCGCAACCACGGTAAAATTGTTACCCTAAAATTAAGGCATGTTGCACAATGTCTGATCAAGCGTCTTTTAGTCTAACTGACGGATTATGTGACGTAGTTTTTATACGAAATGCGTCAAACGGAAAAATAATCAGAAACCACGAGGCATTACACTTTTAATATTGATTTAAATTTTAATCATCTCCGTAAGATGCGTTTCAAATCAATTGATTTTGTTCATAATGAAAATATTTATCTCAACTTATATATAACGGTGGCATGTAAAAATTTCTTTAGCTAGTATTGGTTACAGTTCATCATGAGGTGTTTGCTAGCCATTCTCTTGTTCACCGCGGTGGCAGTGTCTAACATAGCCGCTTTTAACTTATTCCCAGCAAACAAACCATGTGAGTAATTTATTCTCTAAGGTACATGAATATCGTGAAGAAATCTGGACTTTAACCTTCAAGAAAATGCCGGCAACGCACCTGTATGTGACTCCTCCAGTGTTGCCCACGAGCGGCGCTGATCGCTTACCATCAGGCGATTTGTCTGCTTGTGTCAATATTACCAATCCTTGAGGCATCGTGGTGATGAACATTTATTCCTTCTTTGTAAGAGAAGAGGCCTTTTTTCAGCAGTGGGAAAGTTATAGGCTGAATATAGTGACGGTGATAAAGTAATGCCCCTTTGAAAAATTAGCTGAGGTGAATGGAATTATAATCGATGTAGTTTTACTTGTAATTTTTTTATTCTTATCATTAAAAATTCAAAAAAAATGTGTAGATTGTATTCCTTAAGGTAGTCAGTATGATTGTGACGCTCCCTCTCGCCTGATTCAGTCTTTTGAGGATTGTCCATCATTGGAAAAAGGATTGGTTTAAAGTAATGCAACTTCATATTCATAACTAGTGGACGCCACAAACTTTGTTTGACCTTAAAAAAAAATTTGCGTATCTTTGCCATTTTTTTTCTTACATTAGAACATTTTGTTAACAATAACAAATCCAAAATAAGATTTAACGTAATCGGTTCAGCTGTTCTTGAGATATGCGCTTAGCAACACATTTAGTAATTAATTTTTATATTATAGAAGATTATTTTTCTCTAATTTTACAGTTTGGCCCCATGATTGCTACACGGACAACGACTGCCCTGGCGACGACTGTATCTGCGACATTGGTCACGACCACTTCCTTCATTGTATATGTTTGCCTACATTCCCACCACCGCTACTTGCGAAGTCTGGAGAGTAACCCACTGTGAAACCTGAGAGACCTAAAATGTATTAAATGTTGTATAACGATACATATTAAATGTTGTATAACAAGATGTTGTATAAACATAACATCAACATGACTTCTATTTTTTTACCTTTACTTACTACCCATTTTTTACCTTTCACCAGTTTGTTGGCCTCGTGCTATCGGATGCAATAATACTTTACCTGACCTGAAAATCCAACTTAAGAGCCCAACAAGGTAGTCGAAGTTACTCAGTTTGACTATCATCTATATTTACTTAGTAATTATTACTGAGCTGATAAATCCAAATCTTAATACAAGTTACGTAGAACTGTAACGAAACTATTTAAAAGTATCAGGAGTCATCAAGCAAGCGTACTAGTGTCAAAATCAATGTATTTATTGCAACTAAACCATAAACAGGTACTTTTGAAACGTCAATGAATAAAAAAATAAGTAATAGTCAGTTAGGCTGTACATTAGTGAAGCTAGGTCGTTTAATGGGCTGATCCTGCTCGTAGAAGGCGTTTAGGAGGCAACCGCCTTAACGCCTAACACTCCGCAATCCCGCTTGTTTGAAGTGCAGGCGGTGCTGCCGTACAAAGCAATGGTCAAGGGACACGCAGGTCTCCCTTTTTTTTAATGGGGGGAAAATAATCGAATGACTGCTCCCGCCTGGGTGAGGCGGGAGGGAGTGTCAGACTCTTACTGACTAAAAACCACCCCGTTCCTTCTCGTGCACGTCGAGTCGGAGCCCCGGTTACCCGTTAGGTTCTCCGCGACTCCGAATCGGCATCGGCCCTATTGGGCCCCATCTGTGGTGGTCTGATGGCTCTTTGAGTCGCGCGCGGAACGCGACGCGCCGTACGCTCGGGTCTGTTTCTGGTCGGACGGGGAGCCACCCATGCTCGCCGTCCGCAGGCCACGCAGGTCTCCCTAGGGATGTGCTGTAACAGGCGTTGCACCTTGGGGGTTCCGAAGCAGAGTTCTCTTCAGAGGACCCGATGCCCCTTACAGGTTCTGAGGATGGCCACCGGGGCTCGTTTTAGTGAAGTACAAATCCCACATTCCCTAGTCTATCTCCCTAAAAAAATGCGTCTTTTGAAGGTTTCCCCCTTCATCAAAAAAAGGTCGCTTTTCATAATTCATATTTACTACAGCACTCGATGCAATAAATAGAATATTTTTTTATGAGACATGAGTTAAATAACCATCTGAGGATAAGTTACACCAGAGTTACAAGTGCGTTACCGATTTCCCACGAAAATTAGCCCACCGCAATGGTAACTTCATTTCACTACGGAACACAATACAAGCGTTATACGTACGTACGTTATATTATAAGTAGAGAGCCCATTTGTTAAATCACTAAAGGACCGATTTTTCAATATATATATACACATATATTAAGGTTATATGGCGTCAAATACCATTCAATCTGAGCGTGAACAAAATAAGCAATAAGTATTATTATTTCAATGTTTTATATTTTCATGGTAATCAATTGGAACGAAAGGTATGGAGGTTTAAGGATGAAGGTCACTCACGAGTTATCGAGGACAAATGAGGTTAAGTGCTAGAAAGATTTTAGTTTTATATGTGCCGCATCAACGCTTACCATCAGACGGGACAGTGGCCAAACGGGTCGGCCCATTGCCAATTAGTAGTCAACGCCGTACAGCGCCTGCTGTACAGAGTTGAGTGGGCTAAATGGAGGACCGCTTTCCATGAATGAGAAAACCTTGCAGATTACGTTACCTAGATGTCAGTTGGAATTCACTATACACAATAATTTTGTGACGACACATACATGTCAACGGATGACGTCACAAAAAATCCTACATCGCACACGCAAAGTTTACATGCAAATTAACACGGACAGAAAATCCCAACGAACAACTGTTGGGCAGAAAGCCCGCCAGGCACGATCACCTCGCCTGGTCGGAGGATCCTTCTTTTCCGATCTTAGGGAACTTTCAACTCTGTTCCCTACATCTTTGCTGTTTATTACTGTATTGTTTTTAAGTCGGTTTAATATTTGATTAATAATAATCGATTGTTAGAATCCATTCCGCATAATTGTGATAAATTGTTCTGCACGCTTTAACATATGATATTTTAATAACCAGCGTTCCAACTGCTGCTTACCATGGTGAGCGCATTGCTTACCATCGGGTAGTCTGTAGACTCGGTTAAACAAATCTACCATCCTACATTGAATTTTTTAATCGTAACTACCTATTAAATCATTGTTTTTGTTCTACAACGACTTTAAAATACCTACAACGTCACAGACATGTTATTCGTCACTTATATTGGAAACATGTCAGTCATTCTGTCACTGAACCATTACAGAGAAAATGACATTTGCCAAACCTCACATGGAGAAGGAATGAGTATTAATCACCACGCTTGATCAAATCGCCAACCCGGTTGATCAAGGCGGATTGCGGTGACCAACCTACATGACACTAATGGCTTCTGGCCTTTATCTACGTTGCCCGAATGCCCTTTGTGCTAAAGCATGAACTTTTCCATAAGGGGTTCTTTTTGACCTCCAAAGTACCATGAACCGTGAACTGAGAACTAGAATTTAAAAATAGAGAAACAAAAAGAACAAGAAAAGGCAAGAAACTAGTCAATTAAATTTTATTTCACACAATAATATTTATTTCTAAAAAGTGTTATTTTTATCATCTTAAATTTGTTATTAATTATCTTGTAATTAATCAGTCGAAGAAACCTTCTTCTTGTCATCTTGTTTCAGATCTTTGTCATCTTGTTTCAGATCTTTGTCATCTTGTTTCACACTATATTTGTTATATTTTGTTACATCTCCATTGTCATCTAAAAAACATGCGCATTGTAGGTTGATACAATGGCACAGGTCTGGACAGTCACTGTCGACTTGGCAGGGCTCCACTGTGAATAAAATGCAGAATTTAAGTACATATACTGTTTATATATTACTTTGTAACTAAGAATAAGTAAGGAAGGAATCACGTTTGTTTCATTTAATGGCTAAGGTACATAAAATTAAATATTGCTATATGGTTGTTGCTATACCTTATTGCTATGCTATAAGCCCACGACACTAAATTTGAATTTACTCGATCGTCATACCTAATGGATTTTGAAGATAGTATATTGGCACTTGTTTCCGCAGGTGGAGGAAGGGGGAATTCACAGATCTTTTAAATTGATACTCGTAACTATTGTTTTAGTGGTCGAGCAAGTCAGATATTTATTAGGTGAGTTTGTATGTTGGCGTTGTACCCAAACAAAAATCCTTTAAAAATCACGTTCAAATCGGCAATTTTAAAATACCCTTCCGTTTGGATGTTGTGGACCTCAGATTTTTTATCGCGCCATCTTTTAGATTGGACTAGACATACTTATATGTTATCGTTTACTCAACATGACTTTATGATCCCCGTAATGATGTTAAGCTGACACACTTGACTAACTACCGAATTCCCTTAATGGACCAGGATATACCAGAAATTATCACTGTAGAGGTGCCAACTGAAAACCGGTGTTGGGTGCTCAATGTGCCCAGCTTTTAGCTGAGTTAGCGACCCATTCGGCTTGGATATGTCTGCCAATATCGCGCAGTATGTTATATCTATTTTTATTATCTTGTTTTAGTTTTATGATTTAGTTTTTTATCTTTTTATTCTCACTCTTTTGTGTTAAACTTTTATATTGTTATTTTGTCATATTGTAAATCAATTTTAGGGACTAGGTATTTTAAGTTCTAGCTGTATGAAACATTCGTAATTACAATCGGTTGTCATTTCAAACTTTCGATAGTTTAAATTATATGAACACTCATTAGGTATTTTGGTTTTAGTGATTTTTAATATAAGTTAGTTGATGTTAGTTATTTTAATTGTCAATATTTTTAATACATACGCTCGTAGTCATAAGAGAAGCATTTGCACGTTTGGTCGATACAATGGCACTCGTCTGGACACTCAGAGTCAGCAGTGCAGGACCCGGCTGTGGATTAAATGCAGAAATATAATTTAAGCACATTTACTGTTCATTTACTACCTTAAAACTCCGAATAAGTAAAGACTTTGTTGTACAATTACGCTTGCTAAGAAGTTAAGTGGAAATACATAAAAATAATTAGGTGACACTATCGTACACAACACACCTTTACGAGGAATTCCTAGATTGAATGAAAAGATTAGAAATATCATCATATTCATTACTAAACAACAAAATCACTCTAAACCATATATCTACCTACATAACATTAGAAAGAAGAAAGAAAAAAGAAAGAAAGAAAAAGCATTTATTTGGCACATGGCACACAAACAAAGATTATGAAAAAAAAAAAAAAAAAATACAAGTACATACTTACACAAAAACATAATATCAAAAGGAAACATAAAAGCATAAAGAAAATAACAAAAATCATCAAAATATAAGAAAATAAAGTACATATGAAACAATTGAAATAAATTTTTGATATAAAGACAAATTAAATACACTAAAAAACACCATAATATAAATAATATAAATAATATAATACTGCGTGTGCACATGCCAAAAGGGCCTCCACCTCAGCATATAGTTGAGCATTCCTGCCCAACGCTGATTTTCAGGTGGCACCCTGCAGTGACTCACGGACGGCGGTACCGCCCCTCAATAAGGAAAAGAAAATAAATTTGAATATGAAATTAAATAGATAAAATAAATTCTGCAGACTATGTGTGCATATGTGTATGCGTGCGTATGTGTGTGAAAAGTTGTGATTAGAAAAATGTATAGATCAAATAGTAAAAGTAAATACAGACAAAAATGTAAGAATGCATTTATAAGAGACTAAGATATAAGACTTATGTAAATACGAACAAAAATGTAAAGATGCACTTTCTATATTTACTCTTTTTTCAATTAACTGAGGGTATTACATATTTTCGGGCTGCCAAACCAGACAAGCACTATTCCAGTGACAATCCTGCTGAGCTCTGGTTCATTTCGACGCGTACCCACAAAGATACAGTTGCCTTCCACTGACCACCGGACACAAAACTCCGGCAGCAAAGTTTACTTGTGGCCACAGTTAAAAACTTAAAAACAACATTAAACCAATGGCGAAGCACCAGCAGCACAACACGGCGAGCTCCCACATAAAACGCACAGACGTCCAAGTTAGCATATAATAGTAAGTATACTTTTATTGTATTGAAATAATGAATTGAAATTAGATAAAGGATTTGTCAATATTTATGTCGTTAAATTTAATTTGGGATGTCAAAATAAAAGTTTTTAATTTTAACCTAAACGTGTTTTTATTGTTCAGATCTCTAATTGGTGGTGGAATATTATTCCAACATTTGGAAGCCGCATAACGGAAGCTGCCGCGAAAAGCTGCAGTTCTATGCTGAGGAATGGCGAGCTGCTGAGCACAACGCCTACCCTCACGCTCCCGGTGACTGTTAACCCATGCAAACCTAGAGTACAGGTATGGAGGACACCTGAGTTTTATCACGTCGAACATAAGACAGGCGAGATGAAGTTTACGGCGCGACTTCATTTTTAAAACATTATGTTTGTTTAAAAATGGTGTAATATGACTTCTTGGTGGAACATTGTAGCAAAATCGCGCACAAGCATTCTGTACTCTCTGTATTAATCTCCCGGTGCGTGCTAAGAGCCTGGGGCCTATAACGGTATCTGCATAGTTTAATTTTGACAGAACCAAACTCTCCACCAACCGCACACGCAGTTCCTCGCATAAGTAGGGTCGTATTTTATATAAAATCTTCAAACGATAGAAGCAACTTCTTACACAGTCCGAAATAAAACGTTCAAACCTTAAACCTTCATCCAATACAAGGCCCAAGTTTCTTGCCTCACTTACTCGTTCTACATTTTGACCTTTTACATTAATGCTTACGGAAGTGCTCAGTGGAATCTTGTGTAATAAGCCTGGCGTGCCAAAGATCATAAATTTGGTTTTAACTGGATTTAGTATTAAAGCATTATTTTCCGACCATTCGAATATACCCTCCAGATCTTTGTTTATTTTTTTGATTGCAGACTCATAGTCTTGAGGTTTGAAAGACAAATATATTTGTAGGTCATCAGCGTAAATATGGTATTGACAGTGCTTAATTTCATTTATTATGTCCGCGGTATATGTGATAAATAATGTGGGGCCTAGAATTGAGCCCTGTGGCACGCCTTTCATTAGGGGAGTCGTTTGTGACTTATTAATATTACCCTTTTGGTCTCGTAATTCGACGTATTGGGCACGGTTGCTGAGGTAGCTGTTAAACCATCTCACAGTTGGAGTATCAAAGCCATAAAAAGCCAGCTTCGATAACAAGAGCGTTAAATTTATGGCATCGAAAGCCCTTGAGTAGTCTAATAATACCAAGATGGTACAGAAACCACTGTCCTGTGCAGCCAGTATGTTGTCAGTGACATCAAGCAAAGCTGACATCGTGCCACGACCCTTCCTAAAACCTGATTGTAATTCAGGAAGAATGGCATTTGCCTCCAGATATTTTGTCAGCTGTGTGTTAACCACCCTCTCCAGCACCTTAGATAACAGGGGCAGAAGGCTAATGGGTCTAAGATCGGTCAAATCGGTAGGGGAACTTTTTTTTGGTATCGGGCGTACAGCTGCCAGTTTCCAATCGTCAGGAAAGGTTGAGGTGGTGATTGAAGTATTTATAATATTTGTTAAGTATGTCAAGGTGTAGGGTAGCGTCATAATAAACATATTGAGAGCAATACAATCATGCCCCTCGGCATTCGATGTGAAACCTTTAATAATTTTAATAACATCACTGTCATCAACTGTCCGTAGTCTAAAGGTACTATCGGTGAATCGGTGAAACTCATAAAAACTCAAACTGCTAATAGTCAAGTTCATGGTTCCGGGTACATTTAAAAAGTGGGTATTAATCTTATTCGGATCATTAATATGCGACGGTAGTTCGGTATTCCGATTTATAGGCAACAAGGTTGTTTTTATATTATTCCAAAGGATTTTAGGAAATTTAATTTTGTTGTTTATATTCGTCTTGAAGTAAGCTACCTTCTCATAAAATAGTGATTTTCTTACTAAAGTTTTTAGGTCTTTGTAATATATTTTTTTAGATTCTGACTTAGTTTTCATATAATTTGTATAGGCTGTATTTCTCAAATTCATCATCAGTTTAATGTTATCAGTGATCCATGGGTACGTTTTTTCCCTAATAACATGAGTTTTGAGAGGAGCATGTTTGTCGAAAAGGTTAAGTATACCCTGACTTAACCTGTCCACCATGACGTTTATATTATTTGACTGAACAGTCATATGCCAGTCAGTAGATTGTAGGTCGTCGTCAAACTTCTTAGGGCATATTTTTGTTAGGCTCCTCTTGGTTACAGTTAGAGGCAGTGGCTTGTTCCTTTTAAAATTAAACATCACTACCAGATAGGCATGCGCCCCCAACGCCCCAATTGGGTCCACCACATGGCTAATAACGCGAGCGTCTGTGCAGACAAGGTCAATGAGGGTCTCACTAGTGCTTGTAAAGTGCGTTGGCGATGTTATTATTTGTTTCAAATTAAAGCAATTTAAAAATGCGTTCAATTTGCAAACCTTTGTCTCAGAGTGGCTCAAACAATTAATATTAAAGTCTCCAAGTAGAACAGTCTTGTCACAAAATGAGAGCGAATCCATCGAAGCAGTGAGCCCATCAAAGAACAAATCGACATCAAACCAAGGTGGTCTGTATGCCGTTCCCACGGCAAGCCTCGTACCATTGATGTTCAACACCAACCACATTTGCTCAACCGAACCATGTGACGGGTCCACCGGGTGGGGGTGCGCACGCACATTAATTCCTCGCTTTATATAAAACCCAACGCCGCCGCCACGGCCGCCGCCATTACGCCTTTTATCCCCGAAGGGGTAGGCAGAGGTGCACATTTTGCCACTGTACAATGTAACACCCACTTTTCACTATTTATGATTTGAGTCCCATGTAATATGGGCGAGCCTATTGCCATATACCGGGCACATTTCCAGACTCCATGCTACTACTGAGATTTTTAAAAACCCAGTAATACTTAATAAAAATAATTTGTATGTATGCAAAATGAAGAACTGATTGAGAATCGTGGAAGACCGGAGAAGTGAGCTAGGAATCGTAGATGAACAAAAATATAAAAAATGCTCTCGATCTTCGATATTATATGTACCTATATATGCAATTAAGGATATATGAACAAAAAATTACCGAGTTTGGTGACCACGTTGACCTTAACCTGATCTGAGCTTGATTTGACCAGATCTGAATCCTGATATCGTGAGTAATGTGTGACGCCAGTCACAATCACGGCGAGTGCAAAAATAAGAGCTACTTGTAGGAACTTCATGATGTCTTGATGACTTCTTCAAGCGCTATACGAATTTGTACTATTTCCCAACTATTTATATAGAAATATATCAATCAGTTACTAATGGTTAATTTATATTAGTGTGACGATAATATTGTTTATTATTTGAAGGTCGATTATTATTCAACTTTCTACACCAAATAAAATGGTAATTAGTTATGTTAGTACGTTACTAAGTACCTTTCGATTTCATATCAATAAGGTTGATTTTCCTCCATCACAGACCTCATACTGTTCGAAAATAATAAATATATCATAGCGTTAATATCATTTAAATAGGTTAATTTGCTACATTTTACTACCAGATCTAAGTATATTACAATAACCAGCTGAAATGGATTATTTATACAGTTTAGGATAAATTACAGTTGAGGTAACCTGATGGTTAAGGTGCTAGCTTCCTGCTACCTGATGGTGGTGGTAGTGCTAGTGGTTAAGGTGCTAGCTTCTCGAGTTTGACGGTGTGAATTCGAAACCTGGCAAGCATTAATGTGTGTTTTTCCAAGGTATAAGGTGCTTACTAAGTTCATTATGACATCAGTGGTATATGAAACCAGGACATATAAATTGAAATGATAATTTAGAAATCATCAAAATTATAATTAAGTGTGGAATAGCCATGCTTCGGCAGGAATGGGCCGCCTCGACCGGAGTGATACCATGGCCTTACAGAAAACCGACGTGAAGCAACGCTTGCGTCGTGTTTCGTCGTGTGAGTGGGGTTACCGAAGGCCCAATTACCCTCCCCTTCCCCAATCTCCCTAATTCCTGAATCCCCAACGATCCTCAAACTCCTAATCCCCAAAAGGCCGGTAACGCACTTGTAACGCCTCTGGTGTTCCAGGTGTCCATGAGCGACGCCGATTGCTTACCATCAGGAGATCCGTCTGCTCGTTTAACGGTTTATGCCATAACAAAAAAACAATCTGCATTGAGCAAGCGTGGTGACTCATGCTCATTCTTTCTCCATATGGAAAGAGCCCTTTTCAGCATTGGTACAGATACATGTTGATAGTGATGATGCTGAATAGGTCATGAATGTCGGTTGAGTGGTCGACAAATAATAAGCAAATGTACATTTTACCGACAAAATTATTATTTTGTTCTTCTTGCTCCTTAGTAGTTAGGACGTGTATCTGTGTTTGGGCGTGGTGGTAATAAATAGGCTCACCCTTTAATACATTCTACATGCAATGCTACTTAGATCTGGGTGTGAAGGACATGACGTATTGTTGATGTACTGAGAATAGTAATATAGTATAATGAGCTTACGATTATGCCATGGGCTAACGAATATGGTCGATAAGTACGTGATCTCTGCCAATGGAAATCGACCCTTATTTATATGATATTAAAATATACTCAGTTACTTACTTATTTATCCCTACAGTGTGGAAAATTGAACAATAAGCAACCTTCAATTAGTAAGCAATAACGTCGGTGACCTAAATTAAATCTATACATATAATAAAATTGTAGAAAAGTGCTGTCTGTACATTGAAAATAAAAATAAAAAAAATAGCAGGGGCTATTGTTATGTCGATGTCGAACCCAAAAATGTAACTAACTTTTTTTTTGTCTGTTTGTCTGTTTGTCTGTTCACGCTAATCTCAGAAACGGCTTATCCGAGTTGGATGCGGTTTTCACGAATATATTGTGGTATGCTTCAGTTATGCTTTAGTGTTTGTTTCATGTCAATCGGTTCATAAATAAAAAAGTTACGTCAAATTAAAGAATCACGTCGAACACTATCTATCTATATATCTATATATATAAAAATCAATTGCTGTTCGTTAGTCTCGCTAAAACTCGAGAACGGCTGAACGGATTTATCTTATCTTGGTCTTGAATTATTCGTGGAGGTCTAGGGAAGGTTTAAAAGGTGAGAAAAATTCGAATAATTGCCGGGAAAATCCTCAAAACAGCATTTTTCTATTTCCCATACAAACGTTTTCTAAATAAAATGGAGAGTCAATTTGTAATTTATTACCGCTGCATAAAGTTCAAATTATTTATTACGATTTATCTGAAAACCTGAAAACGGATATCTGACAGGTAACATTACTATGGTAACCAACCTGATGATTTGTAATTGTTATGGCGTCCTACTTCCATAATATATTTTGGCATCAACATATAAAAATGAAGTTCTGTGGGTTTTCAAGGAATAATATTAGTATTCAGCTGCATCAGAGATTTTAAAGACAAAATACGAATTCAATTGACTGAATACAATTTATTCATAGACTAGCCTCTGTCTGCGGCTTCTCTCGCGTTCTTTTAATGGGGTGAGGGAAGGATTTACAATAAAAAAATGAAATGATGCACGATTCTATGCTGGTCACAAATAACCCGCATACCAATTGTTAGCTTTCCACATTGAAAATTGCAAAATACCCCATACAAACTTTCACCTCTGTTTCACGGAAGTGGAAGGGGGTTAGAAAAAGACAAAAAGTAGCCTATGATACTCTCCATCTTTTCAACTATCTCAAATCAAAAACCTTCCTGACTCCGTTCTGTCGTGAAATACGGACAAACAAACAAACAAGCACATACAAATTTATATTATTAGTATACCTCTACATTTCTTAAGTCATCTGAGATTTGTGTGACAAGTGAGTTTACAAAGTCAATGTGTCATAGATTTTTTTTATACTATGGTATTAATATTAAGGTATGCAAAGAGGTTGACAGCAGTCTAAGGAGATAAAACCACGAATAAAATATTTTCAGTTTACTTGAATTCGTATTTTTTATATGTATATCAAAAAAACTAGCTAAATGCACATAGCTAAAAAATAATATTAGTCCTTTTCATTTTAGACCGTCAAGGCCAAATTCACTATGATAGTTTGCTGTTTTTTTATGGCATAAGCCGGTAAACGAGCAGACGGATCACCTGATGGTAAGCAATCTGCGCCGCCCATGGACACCTGTAACACCAGAAGTGCTAGAAGTGCGTTACCGGTCTTTTGGGAATTGGTAATTTGAGGATTGTCAGGGATTGGGGGGGCTGAGGGAGGGGTAATTGGGCCTCCGGTAACCTCACTTACACAGCGAAACACTCCTTTAGGTAACCGAGGGCTGGGCTCGCTGTCATTGCAGCGGAAAGTCCCCTCTTTAAAAGTGGCTTTAGAGAGGCCATCAATGCGAGGACCGCCCGGAGAACACGGTGGAGCATATCGTGGCGGTGTACCTTGCATGGGCTGAGCACCGCCGTGTTCTCAGGGATGTAGGAAACGGTGACCTCTCGCGTTCGGCTCTGGTTCAGGCCATGGAGCGAGGGGGATTGGGATGCAGTCGCATCATTCTGCGAAGCAGTTATGCTTGCCAAGGAGAAAGCGGAGCGCGTGAGGGCACGAACTTCCTCACGCCCCAGCCGTCGCGGGAGACACTCTGGGCGTCGGAGATCGGCCGACCACAGGCCACCGTAAGTGCGGGTCTGTAGACGAAGAGCAAGGGTAGCTCGCCACCCGACCAGAACCAGTCCCGTGCATACTGCGCGCGCCTTACAGAGCCATGACACCATCATAGATGGAGCCCAGTAGGGCTGATGCTCGATACGGTGCCGTGGGAGGCCTAACGAGTTGACGGGGCTCCGGCTCGACGAGCAGGAGTAGGAACGGAGTGGATTTTAGTCAGTAAGAATCTGTCACTCCCTCTCACCTAACCCAAGGCGGGAGAAGTGATTGGATGATTTTCCGACCTCAAAAAAAATCTCCTTTAGGTAATGACAACCCGATGTGTAAAAAACCACCAAAAAAACTCCTTATATTATTGGTATTGATTACGCTGTGGAAATTATGGACAATAGAGCCAAAGGGGTGTATTAAGTCTTATAGAGGACATTAATATCAACATTAAAGTCCATGTATCATATGTAACTAACCTAATATCAGAATACCTATTTTTTCATTTAAATGTTTGCGATAGTAACGCATGTCGTACCGGTACATATCAGGTCACATTATAGGAGAGAGGAAATCCCAAAATGACGGAAACTATGCGCTAAAAAACCAGGACTAAGGACGTTGAAATAAAGAGGGGCTCTTACCTTTTAAACCATTGAACCTATTTGGTGAAATTCGGTACAGCGATAGTTTGAGACCCGGGAAAGGACATCTAAAAGTTTTTAACCCGAAAAACCCACGAAACCGGGAACTGTGCTGTTAAAATCACTATATCTATTTGATTGAAATGCGATACAACATTGATTTGCAAACATAGAATAGTGAAACCTCACGAGACGGGCACTGTACGGGTAAAACCTCTTATGGGATTGTTTATTTTAGAAACCACGAAAATAAATTCATTTCTCAATAAATATAACCTAGGTACTGAATCGATTGTGTTGATATTTTGTTCCAGTTGTACAGCCGTAGAATATACCTTGACAAAGACTAATTTAAAAACCCAACCCGGACGAAGTCGCGGGTAACAGCTAGTTGTTTAATATTATTGTTTGTCATCAACATCATCATCATCATCAGCCTAAAGGTGCCCATTGCTGAGCAAAGCCTCTTCTCACACTGAGAAGGTTTGAGCATGCACCACGCTTGCTCATTGCGAGTTGGAGATTACAAACTTATAATTAATAATAATAAATAATATACTTATAATAATTTAATATGAGTAATATATTTAGACTGCCTCGTTGGCCGAATGGTCGCAATTGCGACTGCCGGGTAAGGGGTCTCGGGTTCGATTCCCGGGTCGGGCAAAGTACTACTGGGTTTTTTCAAAAAATGTCAGTAGTAGCACGGAGTCTGGAATTGTGCCCGGTATATGGCAATAGGCTCACCCCCTGTTACATGGGACTCATAACATAAAATAGTGAACTGTGGGTGTTACATTGTACAATGGTATTAAGTGCCGTAATGTACACCTCTGCCTACCCCTTCGGGGATAAAAGGCGTGATGCTATGTGTAATATATTTAGATAAGGATTTATAAGAACGTGTGGATAAAATGGACTGATTTAAATCGATAATTTTATTCACTTTTGAGATAAAGACGTCG